CCTTGGTGGGAATCGGCCAGTGTGATAATAAAAAAAAAATAAAAAAAATATATGCTTCAATGTAAACACTTGATCTACACATCCCCTACCCACTCTGAAGCCTCCCTGCTCATCCGCAATCCTACATTCTGTCTTACCTCTAATTCTTTCAATCATAACCCTACCGTATACTTTTCCTGGTATACTCAGTAAACTTATTCCTCTAATTTTTACAATCTCTTTTGTCCCCTTTCCCTTTATATAAAGGGACTATACAAGCTCTCTGCCAATCCCTAGGTACCTTCCCCTCTTTCATACATTTATTAAACAAAAGTACCAACCACTCCAACACTATATCCCCCCCTGCTTTTAACATTTCTGTCATGATCCCATCAGTTCCAGCTGCTTTACCCCCTTTCCTTCTACGTAATGCCTCACGTACCTCCACCGCACTTACATTCTGCTCTTCTTCACTCCTAAAAGATGGTATACCTCCCTGGCCAGTGCATGAAATTATCGCCTCCCTTTCTTCGTCGACATTTAAAAGTTCCTCAAAATATTCTCGCCATCTACCTAATACCTCCCTTTCCCCATCTACTAATTCCCCTACTCTGTTTTTAACTGACAAATCCATACTTTCCCTAGGCTTTCTTAACTTGTTTAACTCACTCCAAAATTTTTTCTTATTTTCATTAAAATTTCTTGACAGTGCCTCTCCCACTCTATGATCTGCTCTCCTTTTGCACTCTCTCACTACTCTCTTCACCTTTCTTTTACTCTCCATATACTCTGCTCTTCTTATAATACTTCTGCTTTGTAAAAACCTCTCATAAGCTACCTTTTTCTCTTTTATCACACCCTTTACTTCATCATTCCACCAGTCACTCCTCTTTCCTCCTGCCCCCACCCTCCTATAACCACAAACTTCTGCCCCACATTCTAATACTGCATTTTTAAAACTATTCCAACCCTCTTCAACCCCCCACTACTCATCTTTGCACTAGCCCACCTTTCTGCCAATAGTCGCTTATATCTCACCCCCAAATTCCTCCTCCCTTAGTTTATACACTTTCACCTCCCTCTTACTTGTTGTTGCCACCTTCCTCTTTTCCCATCTACCTCTTACTCTAACTGTAGCTACAACTAAATAATGATCCAATATATCAGTTGCCCCTCTATAAAATTGTACATCCTGGAGCCTACCCATCAACCTTTTATCCACCAATACATAATCTAACAAACTACTTTCATTACGTGCTACATCATACCTTGTATATTTATCCTCTTTTTCATAAAATATGTATTACTTATTGCCAAATTTCTTTCTACACATAGCTCAATTAAAGGCTCCCCATTTACATTTACCCCTGGCACCCCAAATTTACCTACTACTAACTCCATAACATTTTTACCCACTTTAGCATTAAAATCCCAACCACATTACTCTCACGCTTGATTCAAAACTCCCCACGCATTCACTCAACATTTCCCAGAATCTCTCTCTCTCCTCTACACTTCTCTCTTCTCCAGGTGCATACACACTTACTATAACCCACTTTTCACATCCAACTTTATTTTACTCCACATAATCCTTGAATTTATACATTTGTAGTCCCTCTTTTCCTGCCATAGCTTATCCTTCAACATTATTGCTACTACTCCTTTAGCTCTAACTCTATTTGAAACCCCCTGACCTAATTCCATTTATTCCTCTCCATTGAAACTCTCCCACCCCCTACAGCTTTGTTTCACTTAAAGCCAGGACATCCAGTTTCTTCTCATTCATAACATCCACAATCATCTCTTTCTTATCATATGCACAACATCCACACACATTCAGACTTCCCACTTTGACAATTTTCTTCTTCTTATTCTTTTTAGTAATCTTTACAGGAAAAGGGGTTACTAGCCCATTGTTCCCGACATTTTAGTTGACTTTTACAACACGCATGGCTTACGGAGGAAAAATTCTTATTCCACTTCTAGACACAAAATTGTTGTTAAGATAAATTGTTTTTAATATGACTCAGCATGTAGTGAGCTATTAATCAGACTAAAGGTCAACAATTTAAATGATTTTTTTATGACAAATTCAAAAAATGGTTAAATCAAGAATTTCTGATATAATGCTAACACCACAGGACTATGAAAAAACAATAAATGACATGCCCATGCACTCTGCCCCAGGCCCAGACTTTTGGAACTTAGTTTTCAGTGAATCAAGAATCCTAAGAAACCCCTTTCACATGCCTTAACCCTTTCAGGGTCCAAGGCCCAAATCTGGAGTCACGCACCAGTGTCCAAGAATTTTAAAAAAAAAATTTGTTATTTTTTCTTATGAAATCGTAGAGAATCTTTTTGTGAAGGTAATAAAACAAAAAGTATGAAATATGGTGGAAAATTGACGAAATTATGCTCTCGCGAATTTTGATGTGTCAGCGATATTTAAGAATCGGCGATTTTGCCGACTTTTACTCCCATTTTAGGCCAATTACATTATTCCAATCAACCAAATTTTTAGCTATTTCACTAGTATTACTTCTATTCTATCGATTGAGCACAAGAAATCGCCAAGTCAACTGTTTCAACTACAAAATAAAGTGATCGGAAATTGTTAATTTGGCCAATTTAACACAAAGTTCAAAATATTCCAATTTCAAAATAGGGTCCAGAATGAACAATGTAGGCATTCCTGGCACTAAACTAACATTTCCTCTGTTCATTAGTTATGTTTTGAGGCTTTCAAATAAATTCCATTTTTATTTTTTATTCACATAATGAATTTTTATTCACACCAAAAAATAGAAGATTTACTGTTATGCAATACTGTAATAATTGTATAAATATCATCACCATATTTGTGAATGTATATTAGACCCACCAGCTGACGTGTATTCGACGTGTGAGGTAGTTTGTTTACTCTTGAATATCGGCAAAAATTTAACATTTATGCTACTTTGAGCTCAGTTTCAAGCCATTCCAGTGCTAAAACCAATCAAAATTATCTCTATTTCTGTAATATGTCTTCCATTCTATCAAACAAGACCAAGAAATCGCAAATACAACTATAAAAAACATACGAAAAAACACTGCAAAGTTGCTGTTTTAATCAAAAAATCATGATTTCATTTTTTTTCTCTCATTATACACAGTGTGCTGCAGGATCTGTTTTATGTGGTGCACACATACCACATAGATGTATTCTCTCATATCTAGGCCCAAATGTACCACTCACAGTTTATCAGAGTGAGCTGAGCTCATGGCGTAGATCTACGGTTTGGACCCTGAACGTAAAGCCGTAGATCTACGGGACGGACCCTGAAAGGGTTAAGTATTCAGTGGAGAGGGAGCAAAGACACAGGGGTCGTCCCACAGTCACGAAAAACAACAGACAGCCCCACTCCACAAAGGTGGCAGTAAAGCAACTGCAAAGAATTACAAACAGATAGAACTAACGTCCCACATCAAAAAAATATTTGAAATGGTTCTAAAAAGCAAGATCACCAACCACTTGGATACCCATCAGTTGCACAACCCAGGGCAGCATGGGTTTACAACAGGTTGCTCCTGCCTCTCACAACTACTGGACCACTATGATATGGTCTTGGATGCACTGGAGGACAAACAAAATGCAGATGTATACACAGACTTTGCAAAAGCATTCAACAAGTTCATTCATGGAGTAATAACACACAAAATGCATGATAAAGAAATAACAGGAAAAGAGTAATAGTAAACAGAGTAAGGTCAGAGGCAGCTACAGTGAAAAGCTCTGTTTCCCAAGGTACAGTACTCCCTCCCATCCTTTTCTTCATCCTCATATCCGACATAGACGAAGATGTAAGCCGCAGCACCATGTCCTCCACTGCTGATGATACCAGAATTTGCATGACAGTGTCATCCATTGAGGACACTGCTAATCTCCAAGTGGACATTAACCAAGTCTTTGAAGGGGCTTCAAAAAATGATATGAAGTTCAATGAAGAGAAATTTCAATTACTCCACTTCGGAAAACTCAAGGAAATAAAAAATGAATTGGAATATGAAACAAATTCTAACCACAAAATAGAGCAAAAAACTAATGCGAAGGACATGAGAGTGATAATGTCAGAGAATCTCGCTTTCAAAGATCACAACAATATTTCTACCACATCTGCTAGGAAAATGATAGAATAGATAATGAGAACCTTCAAAACTAGGGATGCCAAGCCAATGATGACTCTTCAAATCATTTGTTCTCTCTAGGCTGGAGTACTGCTAGACACTAATGGCCCCTTTCAAGGCAGGCAAAATTGAAGACCTGGAGAATATACAAAGAACTTTCACTGCAAGTATAATAAACCACCTAAATTACTGGGAATGGTTGAAGTCCCTTGACCTGTACTCCTTGAAATGCAGGCAAGAAAGATGCATGATAATATACACTTGGAAAATCCAAGAGGGACTAATCCCAAATCTGCAGACAGAAATCACTCCCTATAAAAGCAAGAGACTTGGCAAGTGGGGCAACATCCCCCAATGACAAGCAGAGGTGTCAAGAGTATGCTAAGGGATAACACAATAAGTGTCAGAGCCCAAGACTTTTCAACTGCCTCCCAGCATACATAAGGGGGATTACCAATAGACCCCTGGCTGTCTTCAAGGAGGAGTTGGACAGGCACCTAAAGTTAGTTCCTGACCAGCTGGGCTGTGGTTCATTCATTGGTTTAAGTGTAGCCAGTATTGATCAGGCCCTGATCCACCATGAGGCCTGGACATGGACCAGGCCCCATTGGCATTGACCCCCAAAACATCCTCTAGGTATACTCAAGGTATATTATATTCTTTGCTCCTTAGCAAAATTGTACTAAGTGAACAGTTGCTGAGCAAGCATTACTAAATTTAACATACATGTATATATATTAATTTTGAACAAAATAGAATGATTTGGAGGGTATATAAATCTGAAGTGGAGGAAAGGTAGGGTAGAGGTTCCCCCAAGAATGGTTGGAGGGAGGGGGTAAATGAGGTTTTGTGTGCAAAGGGCTTGGATATCCAGCAGAGTGTTAGATAGGAATGGAGGCAAATATTTTTTTTTTGGACTTGACAACCTGTTAGTGTGTGAACAATTTAACATACCGTGAAGAGATTCAGGGAAACCAGTTAGCTGGATTTGAGGCTTGGAGGTGAAAAGTACAGTGCATGCACTCTGAAGGAGGGATGGGGATATCTACAGTTAGGAGGTGCATCTGAACTATAGTATCGGCATGCCGGTGGGAGGACAGTGATGGAGAGAATGATGGTAGAAGTGTTTCTTTTCTCGGGTCACCCTACCTCTGTGGGGGACGGCCAATGTGTTAAAAAAAATTAATTTGAGTTCCACCAACTTATAACCATTACATAAAGAAGCAATACTATACATTAGAATATACTGGTTTACTAACCTGAGTAGATCTTTATGAATTGTAGATGACTGGTGCCACAGTATCACACCTAATATGGCTGACCATGTACGCAGGGGACCCAAAACCAGTGCCATTGTACCATATGCCAACCAGAAAAAGTATGCCGATATTATCTGTAAAATAATAATATAATCAAACTAAGCACTAAACCTGGAAGGGTTATGCAGTGTTGAAGATAGATGTGCTAAAGGAGGATTATGCAGAGATTGGCAAGAAGTGACAGGCAACAGTGTTCAAGGATATGGATTAGTTGAGGCAATGGAGAATGCACAAGATAAAATATAATCAAAATTGGTGTAATAAGCTAGTTTCCATTAAAAAAAGTCAGAGTGTGTGTCAAAGGTGATTATCTGTAAAAACATTAATCAATTAAAACTTCTAGTCTCTGATTATTAATGAGAAATCTTTTCTAAATTTGGCAATAAATTTAAGGAAAAGTTCATAAATAAAATACCACAAGCCTTGCATGCTTCAGTAATCACTGACTGGAGCTCTATTATAAGGAATTTCACTGATACTTTTAGTAAAGTATCTCATAAAAGTATCTAAGAGACATTTCACTCAGCAGGGATTTCAGGGGGTTTATCAGCTAATACAAGACATGAGAAAGAAGACTTGTGAAGGTCAACTAAAGAGGTGGCAGAGATAGTGGTCACAGTAGTGAGAGCAGGACTTGCTAGTGAAGATATACAGTGGACCCTCGACTAACGCTATTAATCCGTTCCTGAGAGCTCATCGTTAGTCAAAATAATCGTTAGTCAAGTTAATTTTCCCCATAAGAAATAATGGAAATCAAATTAATCCGTGCAAGACACCCAAAAGTATTGAAAAAAAAAATTTTTAACACATGAAATATTAATTTTAATACACACAAACTGAAGAAGACATGCACAGTTACATGACACTTACCTTTATTGAAGATCTGGTGATGATTGATGGGATGGGAAGAGGGGAGTGTATTGATGGTCTTAGTGTTTAGAAGGGGAATCCCCTTCCATTAGGACTTGAGGTGGCAAGTCCTTTTTTGGGGTTACTTCCCTTCTTCTTTTAAAGCCACTAGGACCAGCTTGAGAGTCACTGGACCTCTGTCGCACAACATATCTGCCCATAGAGGCCTGTACCTCCCGTTCCTTTATGACATTCCTAAAGTGTTTCACAACATTGTCAGCGTCACCATTAAACACTTGTTCAGGTTTCAGTCCTTCACTGTCTATGTACTCCTTGAATTCCTGCACATATTTTTCAGCTGCTTTTTGGTCCAAACTGGCAGTCTCACCATGCCTTATCACACTATGTATGCCACTACGATTCTTAAATCTCTCAAACCAACCTTTGCTGGCCTTAAATTCACTCACATCACCACTAGTTGCTGGCATTTTTCTAATTAAATCCTCATGCAACTTCCTAGCCTTTTCACATATGATCGCTTGAGAGATGTTATCTCCTGCTATCTGTTTTTTGTTTATCCATACCAATAACAGTCTCTCAACATCTTCTATCACTTGCGATCTCAGTTTCGAAAACATAGTTGCACCTTTGGCAAGAACAGCTTCCTTGATTGCCGTTTTCTTGGCCACAATAGTAGCGATGGTTGATTGGGGTTTTGTGTACAGCCTGGCCAGCTCGGAGACATGCACTCCACTTTCATACTTAGCAATGATCTCTTTCTTCATATCCATAGTAATTCTCATCCTTTTTGCTGTAGGGTTGGCACTAGAAGCTTTCTTGGGGCCCATGGTGACTTATTTTGCAGGTGCAATCACTAAAAAGGCTGTGATAATATGAAATGTTCCGATTGTATGCTTGGAAGCGACCACGGTGGCTGGCTGGCTTGTAAACACTGGCCAGAAGTGGACGCGTCTCAGACGGAACGAATAGTGTTGGTCGAGTTTTTTAGCGCTAATTGAGGCAAAATTTTTGCGATAAAATGTATCGCTAGTCAGATTTATCGTTAATCGATGCCATCACTGGTCGAGGGTCCACTGTACTTTACTGGTCAGCAAATTACGTCCTCACTAGCAAGCCTAATACTGCAGTTAATGCTGGTAAGAAAGGTGGTCTCTAAGTTAAAAATTTATTTACAACAAGATGCATTTTTGAAGTTCATTTTGTGGAACATCCGACTAAGCTCTGAATAAATTTGGAAGAATTTAAAACACATGGAAGCACAGGAATTATGTATGTGCATCTGAGTAGTACAGTGCACTAAACATAAGAAAGAATTGAGAATGTGGTAAGAGAGTGATGACCAAAAAATATCTTACAGTATTGAGGATAGAGGTACTGATGACTGTTTGAAAACAGGAGAGTATCAAAATTCAATTTTAACTCTCTGATATTGAACCTGATATTATCATCCTCATCATTTTAATTATTACTATTACCTTTACTTGACAGTCTTTAGCACACAAGAGACACTAGCATATTCTTCCTAATAAGGAAAGAATGATGCCGAGGGAAAAAGAGGTGGGGAAATGAAAGGCGAGGTCTTACCTGGAAAGTCACGAGGAACAGTAAGCACACGTGGCGACACAGGTATCGAGGGAAGCTACACAGTGGATCAATATACAATGACCAGAATCTGAAAAACCCAAAAGTCTTATTGGTTTATTGATGTAACTTCTACATATTCAGTCAAATATCAAAGTAATAAATAAAAATGGGCTTTCTGATTATGCACCTAAATGTCACTCATCTCTATAAAAACATTTAATCATGATGAAATAAAAATTATTAGTATTTTATTATTATAAATGTAAATGCTATGCTAGAGGATAAAGAACAGTCATAATGGGCTGAAAAAGCACAAAAAGAACAAAAAGCAATTACAAAACTTGGGAAAAATAAAAAATATTTTTTCGTATGAAGTGGAACCCCAAATATCGGCTGCTGCGTTTATCGGTCAAATTGTATTTAGGCTGGTTTTTGGGCCAAAATTTTGCTCAGTATTTCGGCTGGTGCCTCGCAAACTGGCCGTATTAGACGCCTCAGTCTGCCTCCTGCTGGGACGCTGCCCGTAGGTGAACCAGTCTCCCAGTGTCTCTTGATGAATGAGCATATACTATGCGCATTCATCCAAACAGTTTCTTAAAATCCAATGGTTTTTGTGCTTGTTTATTAAGTGTGACTGTGAAATAAGCCACCATGATCCCAAAGAAAGTTCCTAGTAAAGTTCCTTTGGTAAAGAAAGTGAGAAACACAATGGAATTTAAGAAGTTATGGAAAAATATGAGAGTGGAAGAGTTGGTGGAGGACCACAGGGAAGAGCTAACCACTGAAGAGATGCAACACCTTCAACTGGAACAGCAACAGACCACAACTGAGGAACTTGCTTCAGAGGAGGAGGAAGAGAGGGAAAGAGGTGCCTTCTTCAGAGATTAAGGAGATCTGTACAATGTGGAGTAGGATGCAAGCTTTTGCTGAGAAATATCACCCTGACCAAGCTGAAACAAGTCATATCTGTAACATGTTCAGGGACAAAACTTTGGCCCACTTCAGGCAAATCTCAAAGAGGCACCAGAAACAGACCTCTCTGGACAGTTATTTTGCGCGAAAGGGGTCCAGTGACTTTCAAGCTGGTCCTAATGCCATTAAAAGACAAAGAAGGGAAGTAACCCCAGAGAGAGACTTGATACCCTAAGTCATTATAGAGGGGGATTCCCCTTCTAAACAATAACCACACCTCCTCCCTTTCCCCTCCTCCCTGTTTTCCATATGCCAATAAGAGTCTTCAATACAGGTATGTAATAATGATTTAAATGTTCATTTATATGTAATTGTCATTGTTTTGTGTATGTAAAACTATAGTTAAACTTTACAAAATGTATTTTATTTTTATTATTTTTGGGTGTTTGGAATGGATTAATTTTATTTACATTAATTCTTATGGGAAATATTGCTTTGAATTTAGGCCTTTTTGAATTTAAGCCGACCTTCTGGAACGGATTATGGCCGATATTCAGAGTTCCACTGTAAGCAAAATCAGAGTCAAAACCTCTTCCATGATTAGATTTCTACTGAAGGAGACGACAACAAAGAAATAAGCGAGATCCTGAAAAAAAAGTATGTTCTGTGATGCTGCTGATGCCATGAGAGTTAAAGGTCCAGAAAGTTTTTCATAATTTCAGCTCATCCTACAAGTTATGTACAGCATCTAATATTAACACAAATTCCTCAAAATTCAAAAGAAAAATAGACATATCTATGCATGCAGTAGCTGGGTTTGATTTATTCAATGCATAATTTATAAAGAAATGCAAAGAACCATTAGCAAGAGTACTCAGTGTTCTTTAAAGGAGCAGCTTAAGAAAGGTGAAATACCAGAAGCTAGATAACAGGGATATCTTGCTACTCCTACTTACACTTTGGTCACACTTCACAGACACGCACATGCATATATATATACATACATCTAGGTTTTTCTCCTTTTTCTAAATAGCTCTTGTTCCTCTTTATTTCTTCTATTGTCCATGGGGAAGTGGAAAAGAATCTTTCCTCCGTAAGCCATGCGTGTCGTATGAGGCGACTAAATGCCGGGAGCAATGGGCTAGTAACCCCTTCTCCTGTAGACATTTACTAAAAAGAGAAGAAGAAAAACTTTATAAAACTGGGATGCTTAAATGTGCGTGGATGTAGTGCGGATGACAAGAAACAGATGATTGCTGATGTTATGAATGAAAAGAAGTTGGATGTCCTGGCCCTAAGCGAAACAAAGCTGAAGGGGGTAGGGGAGTTTCGGTGGGGGGAAATAAATGGGATTAAATCTGGAGTATCAGAGAGTTAGAGCAAAGGAAGGGGTAGCAGTAATATTGAATGATCAGTTATGGAAGGAGAAAAGAGAATATGAATGTGTAAATGCAAGAATTATGTGGATTAAAGTAAAGGTTGGATGCGAGAAGTGGGTCATAATAAGCGTGTATGCACCTGGAGAAGAGAGGAATGCAGAGGAGAGAGAGAGAGATTTTGGGAGATGTTAAGTGAATGTATAGGAGCCTTTGAACCAAGTGAGAGAGTAATTGTGGTAGGGGATCTGAATGCTAAAGTAGGAGAAACTTTTAGAGAGGGTGTGGTAGGTAAGTTTGGACACTCACCGTAAAGCCGTAGATCTACGGGACGGACCCTGAAAGGGTTAACAAAGGAAGCAGCAAAGCAACAATACCTATTAACAAAGGAAGCAGCAAAGCAATAGTACCTCTTAAAGGAAGCGGCAGAGCAATAGTACCTCTTAACAAAGGAAGCAGCAAAGCAATAGTACCTCTTAACAAAGGAAGCAGCAGAGCAATAGTACCTCTTAACAAAGGAAGCAGCAAAGCAATAGTACCTCTTAACAAAGGAAGCAGCAGAGCAATAGTACCTCTTAACAAAGGAAGCAGCAAAGCAATAGTACCTCTTAACAAAGGAAGCAACAGAGCAATAATACCTCTTATCAAAGGAAGCAGCAGAGCAACAGACCCTCTTAAAGGAAGCAGCAGAGCAACAGACCCTCTTAAAGGAAGCAGCAGAGCAATAAACCCTCTTAACAAAGGAAGCAGCAGAGCAATAATACCTCTTAACAAAGGAAGCAGCAGAGCAATAATACCTCTTAACAAAGGAAGCAGCAGAGCAATAATATCTCTTAACAAAGGAAGCAGCAGAGCAACAGACCCTCTTAACCCTTTCAGGGTTGGTGCCGTACTAGTACAGCTTTAACGCCAGGGTTGGTGCCGTACTAGTACGCATAAATTCTAGCGCCTTCAAATCTAGCAAGAGAAAGCTGGTAGGCCTACATATGAAAGAATGGGTCTACGTGGTCAGTGTGCGCTGTATAAAAAAAATCCAGCAGCACACAGTGCATAATGAGAAAAAAAAAACTCCAACCATGTTTTTGGTTTAAAACAGCGACTTTCCAGTGTATTTTCGTATGCTATTTATGGTTGTATTCTAGTTTTCTTGGTCTCGTTTTATAGAATGGAAGACAAATTACAGAAATCGAGATGATTTTGATTGGTTTCACAATGAAAAGTACCTTGAAATTGAGCTCAAAATAGCAGAAATGTTAAATTTTTGCCAAAGTTCAAAGGAAAACAAATCATGCCATGCGTCCAATACATATCAACTGGCGAGTCTAATATTCTTTCACAAGTGCGCTGATATTATTCATACCATTTCTAGACCATTTCTACACTAATGCAGTAGTCTGCATAACATAAATCTCTATTTTTTTTTTTTTTTTTTTGAGAATAAAAATTCAAAGTGGAAAGCAAAAGAAATGTAACAGAGGCCTGGGGATGTGAGTAATGAACAGAGGAAATGTTATTTTAGTGCCAGGAATGTCTTATCTTGTTTATTCTGGACCCTATTTGGAAATTGGTATCTTTTGAAATTTGTGTGAAATTGGCAAAATTGCCAATTTCTGATCACTTTATTGGATAGTTGAAATTGGTAAATGAGTGGTTTTTTGTACTAATTCGATAGAAAAAATGGAGTTCTAGCAAAATAGGTATGATTTTTGTTGAGTGGTACATGGGAATTAGCTGAAAATAGGGCTCCAAGTGCAAGAAATCGCCGATGCGTAAACATCGTCGAGACCACTAATTTCACGAGAGCATAATTCTGTAAGTTTTCCATCAAATTTCATCATTTTGGTGTCATTATGATCGGGAAAAGATTCTCTATCATTTCATAAGAAAAAATACTATTTTTTTTCTGAAAAATTTCAGACCCTGAGAACAAGTTTAGGAGAGGGCCTGCCGATCCTGAAAGGGTTAAAGGAAGCAGCAGAGCAATAGACCCTCTTAACCCTTTCAGGGTCCAGAAGCCAAATTCAAAGTGTGCACCAGGGTCTAAGAATTTTCAAAAAATAATTTTGTTATTTTTTCTTGTGAAATGGTGAAGAATCTTTTTTCTGAAGGTAATAAAACAAAAACTACGAGATTTGATGGAAAATTGGAGAAATTATGCTCTCGCAAATTTTGATGTGTCGGCGATATTTACGCATCGGCAATTTAGCCTACTTTGACTCCCATTTTAGGCCAATTACAGTATTCCAGTTAACCAAATACTTAGCTATTTCACTAGTATTACTTCTCTCAATTGAGCACAAGAAATCGCCAAGTCAACTGTTTCAACAACAATATAAAGTGACCGGAAATTGGTAATTTGGCCAATTTAACGCAAAGTTTAAAATATTCCAATTTCAAAATAGGGTCCAGAATAAACAACGCAGGCATTCCTGGCACTAAACTAACATTTCCTCTGTTCATTAGTTATGTTTTCAGGCTTTGCAAATGAATTTCATTTAGATTTTTTATTCACATAATGAATTTTTATTCAAACCAAAAAATAGAAGATTTACTGTTATGCAATACTGTAATAATTATATAAATAATATCACCACATTTGTGAATGTATATTAGACCCACCAGCTGTCATGTATAAGATTTGTGAGGTCATTTGTCAACTCTTGAACATCGGCAAAAATTTAACATTTCCGCTACTTTGAGCTCAGTTTCAAGCCATTTCCAGTGCTAAAACCAATCAAAATCATCTCTATTTCTGTAGTATATTGTCCATTCTATCAAATGAGACCAAGAAATTGCAAATACAACTATAAGAAACATACGAAAAAACACTGCAAAGTCGCTGTTTTAACAAAAAATTACAGACAGTTTTTTTCCTCTCATTATGCACTGTGTGCTGCAGGATTTGTTTTATGTGGTGCACATATACCACACAGATGTATTCTCTCATATCTAGTCCCAAATTTATTGCTCACAGCTTATCAGAGTGAGCTGAGCTCATGGCGTAGATCTACGGTTTGGACCCTCAATGTAAAGCCGTAGATCTACGGCACGGACCCTGAAAGGGTTAACAAAGGAAGCAGCAGAGCAATAGACCCTCTTAAGAAAGCAAGCAGCAGGTCATTAGTAAAACAATACCGACCAGCAGCACCAACATCACACATTTTAAAAATCTTTGAAAGGGTTCTGAGACACCAATTACAGTGGACCCCCGCATACCGATTTTAATCCGTGCAAGAGGGGTCATTGTTATGCGAAATAATCAGTATGCGAATGAATTTTCCCCATAAGAAATAATGGAAATCAAATTAATCCGTGCAAGACACCCAAAAGTATGAAAAAAAAAAATTTTTACCACATGAAATGTTAATTTTAATACACACAAACTGAAAAAGGCATGCACACTTACATGACACTTACTTTTATTGAAGATCTGGTGATGACTGATGGGATGGGAGGAGGAGAGAGAGAGTGTTAGTGTTTAGAAGGGGAATCCCCTTCCATTAAGACTTGAGGTGTCGAGTCCTTTTCTGGGGTTACTTCCCTTCTTCTTTTAATGCCACTAGGACCAGCTTCAGAGTCACTGGACTTCTTTCACACAACATATCTGTCCATAGTGCCCTGTACCTCTCGTTCCTTTATGACTTCCCTAAAGTGTTTCACAACATTGTCAGTGTATAATCACCAGCACGGCTTGCAATAGCTGTGTGAGGGTGATTTTCATCAAAAAGGTTTGCACTTCAAGCCACTTTGCACACATTTCCTTAATCTTTGTAGTAGGCAACTTCTTCAATTTCTCTCTCCCCTCCTCTGAACCGTTTCCTCAGGTCTGGCCTCTTGCTGTTGAAGTTGATCTATCAGCTCATCAGTGGTTAGTTTCTTCATTGTCCTCCTCCACCAACTCTTCCACATCCTCCCCACTAACCTCCAACCCCAAGGATTTTCCCAATGCCACAATGGATTCCTCAACTGGCATAATCCTCTCAGGGTTAGCCTCAAACCCTTCAAAATCCCTTTTGTCTACACATTCTGGCCACAGTTTCTTCCAAGCAGAGTTCAAGGTCTTCTTAGTCACTCCCTCCCAAGCCTTACCTATAAGGTTTACACAATTGAGGATATTAAAGTGCTCTCTCCAAAAACTCTCTTAGAGTCAGTTGAGTTTCTGAGGTCACTACAAAGCACCTTTCAAACAGAGCTTTTGTGTACAGTTTTTTGAAGTTTGCAATAACCTGCTGGTCCATGGTTTGCAGGAGAGGAGTGGTATTAGGAGGCAAAAACTTGATGTTAATGAATTTCATGTCCCCATAAAGTCGCTCTGCCACGTCTGTAGGATGACCAGGGGCATTGTCTAACACCAGGAGGCACTTAAGTTCTAATTTCTTTTCAGTTAGGTAATCTTTCACATTGGGGGCAAATGCATGGTGTAAACCAGTCATAGAAAAAGTCCCTAGTGACCCATGCCTTACTGTTTGCCCTCCACAGCACACACAAATTCTCCTTGAGGACATTCTTTTGCCTGAACGCTCTGGGAGTTTCAGAGTGATACACTAATAAAGGCTTAACTTTGCAATCACACAGTAGCATTGGAACACATCAACAGAGTAAGCCTGTCTTTCATAGGCTTATGTCTGGGAGTGCCTTTTCCTCCTGAGTAATGTAGGTCCTGCTTGGCATTTTCTTCCAAAAACAGGCCTGTTTCATCACAATTAAACACTTGTTCAGGTTTCAGTCCTTCAGTCTCTATGTACTCCTTGAATTCATGCACATATTTTTCAGCCGCTTTGTGGTCCGAAACTGGCAGCCTCACCATGCCTTATCACACTATGTAATGCCACTATGCTTCTTAAATCTCTCAAACCAACCTTTGCTGGCCTTAAATTCACTCACATCAGCACTAGTTGCAGGCATTTTTTTTAATTAAATCCTCATGCAACTTCCTAGCCTTTTCGCTTATGATCGCTTGAGAGACGCTATCTCTGCTAGCTGTTTTTCATTTATCCACACCAATAAGAGTCTCTCAACATCTTCCATCACTTGCGATCTTTGTTTCGAAAACACAGTTAAACCTTTGGCAAGAACAGCTTCCTTGATTGCCTTTCTGGTGCCCACAATAGTAGCGATGGTTGATTGGGGTTTCTTGTACAACCTGACCAGGTCGGCGATACGCACTCCACTTTCATACTTATCAATGATCTCTTTCTTCATCTCTATTGGAATTCTCACCCTTATTGCTGTAGGGTTTTGGCACTAGAAGCTTTCTTGGGGCCCATGGTCACTTATTTTCCAGAAAAAGCACCGAAAACACTGTAATAATACGAAATATTCCGATTGTATGCTTGGATGTTACCGCGGAGGCTGGCTGGTAAACAATGCCACCGGCAGCACATGTGAGGCTGGCTGAGGGCGCACATTGGACGCGTCTAGGACGAAAATTGGTGAGCGGGTTTTTAAGCGGTATGCGAGGCAAAATTTTTGCGATTAAAGCAAGCGGTATGCGGATTAATTGTTATGTGATGCCATCGGTATGTGGGGGTCCACTGTACTGACTTTATGGGGAAACATGAGATACATAAACTAGGTTAATATAACTTTAGATCTTATCATAACTATCATTATGACAAAAATTATGGAAACCTATAAAAGAAAATAAAGCATTCATGTAATCTATACAGATTCTACAAAAGAATTATTTCTATAAAAGCCCAGTTTACAAATTATACAATAAATACTTAATGGACATTTTCAGGTTTTTCAGTTAAATCAGGATCAAAAACCAACTGTATATTATCATTATTATTACAATTGGGGTTATACAGCAAAACTAACTGTAATTAAGTACAATCTCTGTAATTATTATACATAATAAGCAATTCATCATGGAGACAAATGGTTTTTGGGACTTTATGAGCTAGTGAAGTGTGAGCAGGGTAATATTTTGTGAAGGAATTCAGGGAAACCATTCAGGTGGATGAGTCCTGAAGGTGGGAAGTACAATGCCTGCACTTTAAAGGAGGGGTTTGGGATATTTGCTGTTTGGAGTGACATCTGAACTGTCGTATCTGCGTGCCTCTGTAAAGGCAGTGATTGTGTGTGAATGATGGTGAAAGTGTTTCTTTTTTGGGTCACCTGCCTCAGTGGGAGATAACCAGCATATTAAAAAAAAAAGAAAACTATTATTTATAATGTGTAACTGAATGAAAATTTTTCTCTAACATGTGTCAGGTGCAGGTTTGATTAGCCAGTTCAACACCTGGTATTAAAGTGTGTGTATATACACTATTAAAGAACAACAAGGCACAATACCATGACTGGAACATCATACAAATAACCCGCACGCAGGAGAAAGAATCTTATAACGGCATTTCAGTCCGACTTGGACCTCTGACTTGTCACACTGACTAGTCAATGGTCCAAGTTGAGTTGAAATGCTGTCATAAGCTTCTTCCTCTTACACACTATTAAGTGCTGAAGATTCACTTATTCATTACCATGGTAATATACAGAAGCAACCCCCACTTTTCCACTCATGGCCAAATTTGTTTTACCATATTAACCACCAAGGGATTACAAAGACCAATTTCAAAAGAAAGGTATGTTTTGTGAATATACCAAAGTGTGCTATGCCTTAAATAAATAAAACAACTGCTCAGACACCCTAAGGCAATTTTTTTTGTTATGTGTGTGGTGCTGACTCTGTACAGGGCAATTTTAAAATTCAAGCAGAACCCTCAGAATGGGCAATCAGAAAAAAAGCATCAGTGTGGAAACATTATTACACATTTCAGCAGTACACCTATCTCTTCTGAAACAGATAAACAAAAAAAAACATAAATGGCCAAGTCTGTAGCAAAAATCAATGAATGATAAGTTACAAATGTACCTAGTCTGTGAGAAGGGATTATGCAAAATTAATTTTTTGTTTTTAACAAACCAGCTGTCTCTCACTGAGGCAGGGTGACCCAAAAAAAGAAAAAAACACTTTCACGCTCGCTCACTACATCACCGTCTTGCCAGAGGGACACCAATACTACAGTTCAAAACTGCATAGAACCCTACTCATCATTCTTTAGAGAGATGGAGTGGGCTAGGCAAAAAAATGCATGGAAAAAACTGCCTTAGGGCATTTCCCTACCAGATATACAAAATAAGCAATTACTGTTTACATATATATCAAAATTAAATAATTTCCTCACCTGAAATCAATACAGTGTGCCACAGCCAAGGTGAGAGGGAGGTGGAAAACCAGCAGCTGCACAGAAGAGAATCTTAGTAGTAAGAAGAATCATTTCAATACCTTACAGTACAGCTGACTTGCAAAGCTATGCAGTACTCTGAAGTATAGTATCTATTTCCACAAAACTTTCAACTATCATACTGTTTTCGTCAAGTTAGCTAGTCTATATCTACTGTTAAAACATAAGCTGTTACTTGCATTAAAGCAGGTAGTCCTGTGTAGAACATACATATTGGTCACAGTCCACCTTAGTATACAATGTTGTAAGGCTCAACTGCAACACTGAAAGCATACACCTAGAGTATACAGTACTAAATACATGATCACTCCTAAAAATTCTACATCTTACTCTAACTACTAACCCGTGTTAAACAGCTTTGCAATGTCCACAAAAAATATACAGAAAATATATACGACAAAATGCTGAGGTAATGAATTTCAAAAGTGGACAACAGTAAACACAAGGCATCCTGATGACAAAAAATATACAATAACATACTTCCCCAGATATCTATCCATTCAACAGGTTTACTCTATTTTCAACTACAGTACATGGGAAAGACTATACAGTGTACACTAAAATGACAAGAAAAAATAAAGAGTAAGATATAAGAGTAACAACCAACTGATTAGTTTGAGCAAAAACACGAGATTTATTTAACATTTTTATATACAGAAGAAGATTAACAGACGTTTATATAAAATACTAATTATAACATCTATTAACTCCCTTGAATAAATCCAGGTAAAAGTTAGATAATTTAAAAATATGATACTAGTACTGTAGTTTAACCCCTTGACTGTCGCAACCCCCAATCCTGAGGTGTCTCCTGGTGTTGCAAAATTTAAAAAAAAAATTATTTTTTCTTGTGAAATAATAGAGAATTTTTTCCCGATTGTAATGACACCAAAAACATGAAATTTGATGGAAAACTGATGGAATTACGCTCTCGCAAAGGTAGTGACCTCGGCGATATTTACAAATCGGCGATTTCGCCCACTTTGAGCCCTATTTTCGGCTAATTCCATTGTTCCAGTCGGCCAAACTCATAACTATTTTTTTAGAAATCCATTTTTTTTCTATCGATTGAGTACAAGAAACTGCCCATTTACCGATTTCAACTACCCAATAACGTGGTCAGAAATTTGCAATTTGGCCAATTTCACGAAAATTAAAAAATGTGAATTTCAAAATAAGGTCCAGAATGAACAATGCAGACATTCCTGGCTCTAAAATAACATTTTCTGTGTTCATCAGTCACGTCTCCAAGCCCCTCTGATATTACTCTTGCTTTCTATTTTGAATTTTTATTCAAACAAAAAATAGAAGATTTACTGTTATGCAGACTACTGCAATACTGTAATAATTGTATAAATAACATCAACCCATTCATGACTGCATATTAGAATGGCTAGTTGGACATTTATTGGACAATGACATCATTTGTTTACTTTTGAACATCGGCAAAAATCAAACATTTCCCCTACTTTGAGCTCCATATCCAGGTTCTTTTTATAGTAAAATCAATCAAAATCACCTATATTTCTATAATATGTTTTCCATTCTATCAAATGAGACCAAGAAAACGAGAATACAACCATAAATACTATACGAAAATAGACCACAAAGTCGGCATTTTAATTAAAAAAAACGGTCAGTTTTTTTTTTTCTCATTATACACTGCATGCTCCAGGATTTTTTTTATATGGTGCACACTGACCACACAGACCCATTCTCTCACATGTGGGCCTACCAGCTTTCTCCTGCTTGATTTGAAGCTGCTAGAATTTATGAGTATATATACGTCCAACACAGTACCTCGTAAGACGTATATATACGACCTCGACAGTCAAAGGGTTAATACCTTGACATGCATAAAATAACATACATAAAAGAAAAAAAAAAAAAAGGAAGTTTTTAAAAATTACAGGGAAATAAGCCTACTGAGCATACCAGGTAAAGTGTATGGTAGAGTTATTAGTGAAAGAATTAGAGGTAAGACAGAGAGCAGGATCACATATCAACAGGGAGGCTTTAGAATGGGTAGGGGATGTGAAGACCAAGTGTTTACATTGAAGCAGTATATAAGTAAACAATATCTAGATAAAGGTAAAGAAGTGTTTGTGGTTTTAGAAAAGACATATGATAGGGTGGATAGGAGAGCAATATGGCAGAAGTTGCAAGTGTATGGAATAGGTAGTCAAGTTAATAAATGCAGTAAAGAGTTTTTATGAGCATAGTGAGGCTCAGGTTAGTGTGTGTAGGGGAGAGGGAGATTATTTCCCAGTAACAGCAGTCCTTAGAGATACATGATGTCACCATGGCCATTTAACATATTTATAGATGGGGTTGTAAAAAAAGCAAATGCTTGCATGTTGGGGAGAGGGGTGGGATTAAATTATGGGGAATCAAATACACAAAATGGGAATTAACATAATTATTTTTTGCTGAGGATACTGTGCTTTTAGAAGATTCTGAAGAGAAGTTACCAAGGTTAGTGGATGAGTTTGGGATGGTGTGTAAAGGAAGAAAGTTGAAAGTGAACATAGATATGGCATGAGTAAGGTGATGAGGGTATCAAACGAGTTAGGTAAAGAAAAATTGGATATCAGATTGAAGGGAGGGAGAATGGAAGAAGTGAATGTGTTCAGATAGCTGGAAGTGGACATGTCGGCAGATGGGTTTATGAAGAACGAAGTAAACCACTGAATTGATGAAGGATATAAGGTAGGTGGTGTATTGAGATATTTGTGGAGACAAAAAACATTATCCATGGAGGCAAAGAAGGAAATGTATGAGAGTATAGAGGTACCAACACTCTTACATGGATGTGAAGCATGGGGTGTGAATATTGCAGCGATAAAGAGGCTGGAGGTAGGGGAGATGTCATGCCTAAGGGCAATGTGTGGTGTAAATACTAGGTAGAAAATTTGTAATGTGGACATTAGGAGGTGCGGAGTTACTAAAAGTATTATTCAGAGGGCTGAGGAGGGGTTGTTGAGGTGGCTTGGTCATTTAGAGAGGATGGGGCAAAAATATACGACTTGGAGGGTGTATAAATCTGTGGTGAAGGAAGGAGGGGTAGGGTCATCCTAGGAAAGGATGGAGTGAGTAAAGGAGGTTTTGTGTTCAAGGGGCTTGGACATACAGCAGGCATGTGCGAGCGTGTTAAATAGGAGTAAATGGAGATGAATGATTTTTGGGACTTGATGAGCTGTTGGAGTGTGAGTAGGGTAATATTTTGTGAACAAATTCAGAGAAACCAGTTAGCCAGACTCAAGTCCTAGAGGTGAGAAGTACAATGCCTGCACTTTAAAGGAAGGGTTTGGGATATCTGCTATTTGGAGTGACATCTGAACTGTAATATCTGCATGCCTCTGCAAAACAGTGATAGTGTGAATGATGGTTAATGTGTTTCTTATTCAGGTTACCCTGCCTCATGGGAGATGGCCAGTGTTAAAAAAAAAAAAAAGAAAAAAGAAGATTCAAGAATGAGGTTCAATGTAAGGTGGATTACAAAAATTTTACTAATTAAGGAGCAAAACCTTTGTCATATAAAGTACATAGAAAAATATAAAGTGCAAATTATTAAAGAATAAAAATTTCTAGTACAGGAACATTATTACAATTGTATACTCATGGGAAAGCACTAAACCCATAAGGGTCATAGGCACTTAGGAATTTGAAGAATGGGGAGTACAAAGGTTTGATCTGAGGAAAGAAAGACTAGCTACAATTCTTTAGATCAAGAGCCACTCATCAGCAGCAAAGCCTACTCTTGTTCCTGACCTTCAACATACAAGGCACAGAATGATTCTCTGATTGTCTGAGGGAGGGGGAGGGAAACATGCCTTATATGCCAGAAAATATGGTACTTTTTAGGGTACATTGCACTTACACTGTACCTCACTACATGCACAAAAAAGATCTAGCATAATAGATGTGCTTTTGAGTGATTTCATTGTTTACTAATATCACTAAGTACAGAGATCTCTTGGATGGGGAATAACACATTTGAGAATTTTAGCTTCATTACAGTTTTGTGAATTATTGCCACTCCTAGCAGGAGGGTTCTTTATGTGGGAAAAACTAGACTTGATGATATTACTGTACTATGTATCAAGATCATTAGGTGTCGCCATAGATGAGAATTGCACCCCAGCTGCTGCTTCAAAATGATGCAGCATATTCTATGCAACAGCAGGATCTTGTTCTTCAAAGACATCATTGCTGCAGCAAGTGAGATGGATTATCTATAGTGAATCCCCAGCAAAATTATTAGGGGTAAGTTCAGAAAACCAGGTTGAAATGAGTATGTTTCTGAGTTAATGATGGAATGACAAACTAATATTTCCAAATTACTGTAAACACTGGATGGAAAAGGGTTACCTGAAAAAAAGGCTAACTGGCTATAATTACACACAAAAGGAGGCATGTACAGCTGTACAATGAAGTACAATACAGATACTCCCAAGTTATGAACATCAGTTACAAACAACAACACAGTATTCACAAGCAAGGTCCATAAGAATAAATAAATGCAGTGAACACTCAAATAAAGCATACAAACTATTTACTCAAGTCTTTGACAGCATCTACAGTAGGCATCACAAATAAGCACGCACACATACAATTCACACAGAAAACAAAACTGCTTACCATAGTCTATTGTTTAAATTATATATACTGAAATATGTACACGTTCCTCGACTAAGCTAGTATTTCACCAAGATTACTTTTCCCCTGATGCACTACTCAAGTCATATAGCCACAGATGAAACTAACTTATGGAGTATAGAAAAGTCAATACCCTCCAACGCCTGCTTAATGGTACTTGAGATTTTAGGGTAGAGGACACATACATGACACAAAGCTGAAGCTTAATAAATTTCCAAATGCTTTCTATCAGATTCAAGTCCAATAAGTTTCCATGCAAGATGTTAAAGTATAGAAAAATCACATAATTTAGCCAATTCTTTAGGTCTTTGATAGTAAGGCAAGGGGCCCCATCTTTCTTTCAAAAGTTGTCCTGAAGCCTCTCATCTATCAAGTAAGTAGTCTGCTAAACACATACTGCATATGTTAATTTCATGAATGGTTTGTTGGGTCATATTTATATGGTTGAGATTGGTCAAGAATTATAAAAATAATACAAACTTTTCAGATCAATTCCAGAGGTTATATTATCCCAAAGTATATTAATGTTTTGTTTATGGACTCGTATATAGTACATGCCTAAAAATGTCTGCTTTAACATAATTACTGAATAGTAACAGCTGGAATGTGACTTTTACCTGGAAAAAACCATATGCATACGTCAAGGACCCTGGAAGATAACTTCTATTTACAAAGGTCCCCCAGGCAAACACAACTCCTATGTGACCTTCAATTACTTCCCCCACAAACCATGGACCTGCAAGTAATAATAAACATTAGATAGAGTTACTGCATTAATTAAATGTTAATATGCTAAATTTCAAGGTCTAAATAATGTACATATTCTGTTTCAATATTGGCAGTTTGGAGGGATATGTTGTGTATCTTTATATGTGTATGCTTCTAGACTGTTGTATTCTGAGCACCTCTGCAAAAACAGTGATAATGTGCGAGTGTGGTGAAAGTGTTGAATGATGATGAAAGTATTTTCTTTTTGGGGATTTTCTTTCTTTTTTGGGTCACCCTGCCTCGGTGGGAGACGGCCGACTTGTTGAAAAAAAAAAAAAAAAAAAAAAAAAATTCTGTTTACACCTACCATCCAACTTACGACTGAACATGGTTCCGACTAACTGGTCGGAAGTCTAAATGGACCTAAGTCGAACCTTACTACTGAATATCAACATCACATTATTGTAATGATTTTATTTTATTGTTTTATTTTGGTATTTCATTTTTTACTTTACTTTTTATACTGTTAGTACTGTATTTTATACAGTAAAGCTTAGGAGAAACACTGTGTACAACACAAACAGTTGTTTATTTCCCAGAACACTTGCATACAAAACATGGTCGTAAGTCAGATGGTAGGTGTATTTCAATATACAGTACACTACTGTATAAACATTTAAAAATACACCAGAAATGTTATAAATGGTGCAAAGGTGACCTTAAAACAATGTCAAAGGTTGTTGACACAAACCCACTACCATTATAGTATGGTCCTCACTTAGCGATGAATTCGTTTAATGACGTGTCTTAGGAACGGAACTCCATCGTTAAATGAGAGGCTGTATTATCCTAACATCACATGACTTCGAAAAGGTGATAAATGACATGCCCATGCACTCTGCCCCAGGCTCAGACTCGTGGAACTCCACAAAAGGAGCAGTAAAGCAATAGCTAAGAACTACAGGCTGGTAGCACTAACATCTCATAACATAAAAATCTTTGAAAGGGTTCTAAGATGCAAGATCACCACTCATCTAGATACCCATCAGTTGCACAACCCAGGGCAACACTGGTTTAGAGCAGGTTGCTCATGCCTGTCCCAACTACTGGACCACTTTGACAGGGTCCTCAGTGCTCTTAAAGACAAAAAAAAAAAAACGCAGATGTAGTATACACAGACTTTGTGAAAGCCTTCGACAAGCGTGTGACCATGGTGTAATACTGCACAAAATGCATGGTAAAGGAATAACAGGAAAAGTTGGTAGATGGATCTATAATTTCCTAACAAATAGAACACAAATAGGAGTAACTGCTACTGTGAAAAGCTCTGTTCCACAAGGCACAGTACTGGCTCCCATCCTATTCCTCAATCTGACAAAGACAGGGATGTAAGCCACAGCACCGTGTCTTCTTTTACAGATGACACCCAAATTTGCATGACAGTGTCCTCCACTGAAGACACTGCAAGACTCTGGCAGACATCAACCAAATCCTTAAATGGGTCGCACAGAAAACAATATGAAGTTCAATGAAGAGAAATTTCAATTTCTCCGATATGGAAAACACGAGGAAATTAAAACTATATCGGAGTATAAAACAAATTCCAACCACACAACAGAGAGAAAAACTAATGTAAAGGACCTGGAAGTGATAATGTCAGAGGGTCTCACTTTCAAAGACCACAACATTGTATCTACTGCATCTGATAGAAAAATGAAAGGATGGATAATTAGAACCTTCAAAACTAGGGATGCCAAGCCCATGATGACTCTTAAGATCGCTTGTTTTATCTAGGCTGGAATAATGTTGCACACTAACAGTGCCTTTCAAGGCAGGTGAAACTGCTGACCTAGAAAATGTACAGAGAACCTTCACGGCACACATATGTATGATAACACATCTAAATTACTGGGAATGGTTGAAGTTCCTCAACTTGTATTACTTGGAATGCAAGCAACAAAGGTACATGATTATATACACTTGGAAAATCCTAGAGGGATTAGTACCAAATCTGCATATGAAAATCACTCCCTATGAAAGAAAAACACACACACTTCATACGGCAAGGGTCCGGGTTCAATTCCTTGTGAGGGTAGAAACACTGGGCATGTTTCTTTACACCAGCTGTCTATGTTCCCCATCAGTAAAATGGGTACCTGAGTGTTAGTTGACTGGTGCGAGTCGCATCCTGGGACAAAACTGACCTAATTTGCCGGAAAAGCTCTGCATAATAAGCGGCTTTCTATGTAGTAGTATGTCATTGATGTCAGCTAGGCCTGTATACCTTGTACATGAACTTGTAGAAATAAAGATATAATCAATTACAGTGGTCCCTTGACTTAAGAGTTTAATTCATTCCATGACTGAGCTCTTAACACAATTTGCTCGTACAGTAGGGCCCCACTTATAAAACGGGTTAGGTTCCAGGCTGTCGCCGGAAAGCAGACATTGCCGGAAGGCAGAACGCCATTTTTTCCATTTATAAATGCATATAAATGCCAGACAACAAGTTTACACTAAATTATATTAAGTTAGTAATAGAACTAGGCATTAAAAACACACAAAGTAAGATACATTCACAGTAAATTCATTACTTACCTTAAAGTATTTGTAATCTTAATGTAGGGAAAGAGGTGAGTAGTACTTATTTGTAGGAATTCAGGTGCAGGTAGCCCAGGTGTAGGTAGCCTTGGCTCCCCGTCTCATACTTAATATACGATATTTAAAACATCCCAGAGAGGTAAAATACACATACAGTACACTCATTATTTACCTTAAAATATGTGTAGTCTTAATATAGGAAGAGAGGGAGTAGTATTTATTTGTAGGAAGTCAGTGTAGGTAGCCAGTAGGTGTAGCCCGCCTGGGCTACACCTACCGGCTATCTACACTGTGGCCCAGAGCCATATTTTAACATCGACATGCCTTGTTCACTGAATTTAATCATTTGTAACAACTACCTTTAGATACTATCATAAACGAAGGTAGAAGTAATGAATAATTCATGCCGAAAATTGTAAACAAAAGCGGAGTGAAGGGAGTGGCTGGGCCAAACGCAGATTCATACACGTTTCCTCTGATGGCTGAGCAGAGAAAACGTAATGTTGTCCCTCCACCCGGCTACCACACAGGTCCACAAGTATTATTATCAGAACACACACAAAATATGCAATAAATGCCAGACAACAAGTTCACACTAACTTATATTAAGTTAGCAATAGAAATAGGCATTAAAAACACAATAAAAGGTAAGATACACACAGAGAACACTTATTACTTACCTTAAAATATTAATATTAATGTGTGAGAGGTAAGTGGCAGGGTGTTTATTGAATAAAATCAGAATGGCACACCATCATCCTCTAACTTGGCACTTAACCCTTTCAGGGTCCAAGGCCCAAATCTGGAGTCACGCACCAGTGTCCAAGAATTTTCAAAAAAAAAATTTGTTATTTTTTCTTATGAAATCGTAGAGAATCTTTTTGTGAAGGTAATAAAACAAAAAGTACGAAATTTGGTGGAAAATTGACGAAATTATGCTCTCGCGAATTTTGATGTCAGCGATATTTACGAATCGGCGATTTTGCCGACTTTGACTCCCATTTTAGGCCAATTACATTATTCCAATCAACCAAATTCTTAGCTATTTCACTAGTATTACTTCTATTCTATCGATTGAGCACAAGAAATCGCCAAGTCAACTGTTTCAACTACAAAACAAAGTGATCGGAAATTGTTAATTTGGCCAATTTAACACAAAGTTCAAAATATTCCAATTTCAAAATAGGGTCCAGAATGAACAATGTAGGCATTCCTGGAACTAAACTAACATTTCCTCTGTTCATTAGTTATGTTTTGAAGCTTTACAAATTAAATTCCATTTTGTTTTTTTATTCACATAATGAATTTTTATTCACACCAAAAATAGAAGATTTACTGTTATGCAATACTGTAATAATTGTATAAATATCATCACCATATTTTTGAATGTATATTAGACCCACAGCAGAGTGTATTAGACGTGTGAGGTGTGTTTGTTTACTCTTGAATATCGGCAAAAATTTAACATTTCTGGCTACTTTGAGCTCAGTTTCAAGCATTTCCAGTGCTAAAACCAATCAAAACATATCTATTTCTGTAATAATGTCTCCATTCAAAATCAAATGAGACGGGAAATCGCAAATACAACTATGTAAAAAAATACGAAAAACCACAATGCAAATTGTGTTTTAATCGAAAAATCAAAAATTCATTTTTTTCTCTATTATACACAGTGTGCGCAGGATCTGTTTTTGTGGTGGGCACTAAAACCACATAGAGTAAGTCTCATATCTAGAGAAATTACCATTCTCACAGTTTATAGTAGTGAGCTGAGCTCATGGCAGTCTAGGTTTACCCTGAAGTAAAGCCGTAGACTACGGGAAACGGACCCTGAAAGGGATTAAAGCAAGAGGCTTACGCCCTTCTCTTTTTATCACAGCTAACCTTAGACGCCATCGTCAATGAGAACCAACTAGTTAATGAAAGAGTAAACGAGAGAGAGAACGAGATACAGAGTTGAGACAATGTAAGAGCACAAACTGAACAGGTAGTGGACGATCACTTGGTCAGGCGAAATAAATGTGTATTAATATGTGTCTACTTTTAGTTCATTCACGTCCATTTGTAAGAGTTTGTAAAACATTTACCTCAATATTTTTTTTATTATAATAATAATTACCTCACAATACAAATACTCTTACATTGTGTACAAGTTAGTTCAGAATGAACAAACAGCAACACACCATTTTTAGAGTGAAAGAAGATAATAATAATAATAATAATAATAATAATAATAATAATAATAATAATAACAATAACAATAACAATAACAATAATAATAATAATAATAATAATATTATTATTATTATTATTATTAAAAATATTATTATTATTATTGCTGTTGTTATTATAAAAAGCACTAAACCCACAAGGGTCATGAATTGCTATATATAGAGTAAAGGCATACGAAAAGAATATTTTTCTACA